CCACTGCACTTGGAGGCATAAGAAGTTGTTCACAGAATCATGGCATATCCTGAAAAAGAAGGAATCCAAAGGATCACTGAGTCCAACTCCTGGCTTCACACAGGACCACCCAAAAAATCAGTATTTCATATCAAGCAGTATTTCTGAGATCATTGTCCAAACATTTCTTGAACTCTGGCAGCTTCGTTCCATGACCACTGCTCTGGGGAGTTTATTCCAGTACCAGATTGTGCTTTCAGTGAGGAACCTTTTCCTAAGATCGTTGCTATTAAGAATGACTACCTCCAGTAGTCAAGACAACTGTCCTGAAAAGGTGTGCATGTTTATCCTTTAATGTACTGAATTAAAGTAGGAGTTTCAACACTGAGAAAACACAGGCTGCTCCAGGTGCCACTACTAGGCAAAGGGAGTCAAGTTGGTATCCAACCAGCAGGGCAGTATTGGGGCAGATTTTATATTGCCACCATGTGGCAAGATGGAATGGTTGTGCCCTGCTTCAGTGAACCATGCTGGTGTACAGTTCTAGCCCACAAAACAGAATACAGATTAATTCTTCAAACAAACAGTCACAGTGTAAATCAATGCCTATATTATTTCAGTTCTTTTCACATTCTGGAGGCTCCGAAGTAAGGGCCTTCAGCTACAATTATGCTTTATAGATCTGTAGAGCAGATGCTTTTCAAGAAATTTAAGGGTTAAACCATCTTGCCTCTGCATTATTGAAGCATAAAGAGCATTACCCAAATGCGTGGAGGTCTGAAATATGTACTGTGAATAAAACAATTCAGTCACAACATTACCCATCTTAAAAATTCTCTGCCTCTTCCAAATCATAGCAGGATCCAAAAAGAAACAAGTTTCAGACTCTGTAAAATACGGTTCATGATCTGCTTCATGACATATAAAAGTAAAAAAAAAAAAAAAAAACAAAAAAACAGTTTATGCTGTAAGTCAACATCTAGAAAGAATAATGAACCTACAGCAAGACGTGCAGCCCTCAGAAATAGTGCAGTTCTTAGTTGTCAAAAAAACTGGCAGGGTGTCATCTCATTTTTCCATTCTGGTAGAAGCGGACAGACGATTAAAATTAACAGAAGAAAAATCTTTAGAACAGATGTGACTCAGGGCTCAAACCAGAGACAGATCAGTTATCTTGTGACATGCTGGAAAGGCTGGTAAAAAGAGGTATGTTAAACCACCATCTAGTGTATGAACTTGTAAAAAACTGACATTCTCCAGAACTATCTGCCTCAGCCCAGTATCCTCCTCAGAACATCATTTATGCTGTGCTTATCTTTGTTAGGCTTGTGGAATCCAATAAATATCTCAAAAGAAAATTTATAGGGCATCAAAGTAATAAATATCCTTCAACACCAGTTGTACATACATACCTTTCTTCCCAGCTAAACTCTTCTCAGTTAGACAAATGGCTTGTAAGCACTGATGTCCTATTTACTGTTGAAGTCAGTTCAAGCGCAAAGCTGAATTTTAGGATTAAACCTGTCCATTACAGAGGTTGCTGTAGCAACAGCTACGTTTTAAAACTGAAATGTTAGTTTTACAATGGTCGTTTTCATTTTCTGATCATATCCAGTAACCATTTCATTGGGTTGAATGTTTGGGATATGCCCAGAGGTGATTTAATTTCAGTAATTTACATAGCAGCTTATCTACTGGCCCTACTTTCTGTTTTTTATTGAAAACAATGCATTATAGCCCTAACTTGTGCATGTCAACCTCATTTGTGTGATATATTTTGATTAAACATTTTATTTAGAATCAAAGAATTTAAACTTAGCTTGCTTTATAGATCTCAAGCATAAAACCAAGTATGAAGAAGAAACAGAGAGTTCTAAGTCCATTTTTCTTCTGACTGAAGAGCCCTGGCCAGTTCAGATGCCTCCTAGAAAAACAAGTAGCTTCACTACTGATCACATTTCAGACTTTGCCATTTAGCTCTGCATCACATTTCAGTACTTTTGTTGCATAAAAACGTCTTTGTGTTATTAACGCACCATTAACAGCTCTCTCTTCTCTCTCACACCAATGAAACACAAAGGTTCCAGATGCTGTATCAACAAGTTTGTCTATGCTGTCTAACTGAGAAGTGTAACACTCAGGAGTTACACTTACTGGCATTTAAAACTTGCAAAACCACAATGATGCAAACGGCAGCAACTCTCCCAGACATTCCCAGTCAAGGTCAGCATGGGCAGTCCCCATTGTGCCAGTCGGATTTGGTATGAAGCAGTCTTGAATATATTTAGCTGCTTCCATTCTCTCTCTCCCCCTTCATTTCCCCTCTTTCTCCTACAGACATGCTCCAAAATCCATGGCTGGCCAGCTGTTGGAAAGACACAGCCAACACAGTCAGGTAGGCTCCTGCCATGGCGGCCTTCTCCACCACAGGCCATGAAGCTATTGGCAGCACTCACAGGGCTGACAAGCTGTTGCAAAGGTCTGTCACCCATCTAACACCAGTGAAGCGGTACTACCAGCATCCCAAATCCCACTGTAAGATGCTGAGATGCCTGTGCTTGTGAGCCTGCTGCCAACATTTGTGTTGCTACCACCTGGGAAGAGGGAAGGGCAGAAGCGTTTCTCGCTGCATTCCTTGGAGCAACATCAACCTCATTATTTTTCAATGAGAGGAACATCAAGAAGAATGATGCCACCCAACCTAATTATTTTATCAATCTTTGAATTGGATTGTTAATTATATTCTTCTTAAGTGCTTTTCATTTCAGATTGAATGTTATTTTTAAAATACATTCTGCTGATAATATTTTACATTATGCTTCTTCAAGATGACTAGTTACAGCAGATCTATTAATAACTTCTTAATGAAGTGAGAGTTTCTTAATATGTCTTAGTCTGAGCTGTGCTAAAATTTCAGTGTGAGAGTAATTAATGTAGGAGCTTCAGATATGGTTTTTCATTTAAATAAAATTGAGTGATCTGAGATTCGTGCATCTGCACAGATTTCTACTTTAAAAGGAATTTTACAATATCAGATATAACAATAGTAGGTTTCTTGCCTATTGTTTATATACCTTGAAGAAACAGAAGCTGTCCATTAAAAGGATGTATTCTTATTTCTTTTTGTCAGGAACATGTTCACAGTGTTCTCACTCTTCCGTTTCTTTCCCCTGAACAATGCTCTAGACATTGCTGATACGCAGCTACGGCATTCACAGGCATATTAAAGTTATTTACAAAATTGTTGGAGGCAGTTACAGTCTGGAGTACATGTCCCAGAATATATTGCCTTTAGAAACACAAGTTACAAAGTCATTTCCTCTAGTTTAATCAGAGCCCTGAGATGTTTCGAATGGCATTGTATAAACAAAGCAAAATATTAAACAACATCCTCCTTGTTTCCCTCAGCAAATGAATAACCCTGTGTTTCCCAAGGGAGAAAAGCTCCATAAGACCTGAAAGAAAATGAAGTTAAAGGATTACAGTATGACCTTGGAAGAAAAACTGCAACCAGGGTATTGCCACATTTCATTTCATCTTCAATTAAAAAAATCTTGAAAACTGGTGCTTTCTGGTTCACAGAGGAGTGCTTGATATTTAAAAATAAATCTGCATCCCATTTTGATCTGTTCAATGGAAATATTATCATCACAGTCTATTAATTTAGATATCTGATCTGTATTGTGAGAGGAAAAACCACTTTACTTCTTCCTTGAAAGATGGTTTTATCAGATGATAGAAAAAAAATGTCAAGGGAAGAAAAGAAAGCTCTACAGATAAATTGAAAGAGCCTTCCAAGAAAGCTCATGTGTAAAAATAGTTTCTGGAAACAGCAAACCCCACAGGTTTCAGCTCGTTTCACTAGATTCAGCCTAATGCACACTCTCACATCAATGCAAACAAAAAAAAGGAAAAAAAAATAAATGAATAAAACTCTTTAGCTCAGGTGTGTGATCCATCAGTTCATTCTTTATGAAATCAGCATATTTTCAAAGGCATTTTTCTCATTAAGAAAATCCTGAGTGGGTTGCTTCATATTCTTAAGAATATTCTTCATGTCATAAATGGAAGGGAAAGAATCACATGGTGCAGCATAGTTTTTGTTTTTTGAGAAAGAGAAAATCTGGCAGAACAGTACAGGAAAAATTGTAAGTAAAATTTTCCTTTTCTAAAATTAATTACTTATAGTGGCTCTAAATGAACTTACAATGGACTGGGGGGGAGGGGGACGGGAGGAAGGGGGAATTGGCAGAATAGAAACATAAAATTCCTGCTGCGGTTAAAATTCCCTGCATTTCTTCTTCAAGGTAGAGATAAATTTATTCTTTGTATATTAAAAGAAGATAAAATATACTGTTGTAGAAAGATAAACAAGTCAGAGTTAATAATTAAAAGCTTTGGCTTCAAGACTACTGATCTGTCAGCTTCTGTTCTTGTCAAAAGTCAGAGGTGAAGTTGCAGTACACACAAAAGATAAACAAGCTAAGTTGCAAGACCACAGCTTTCTGATCACGCAAATTTTCACCCACAGTTAGTTTTGAATTAATGGCAATTATCATTCTTGTTTATGTCCTTGAAGTTGAGCTGTGCATTTACTGATATATCCTACCTAAGGATGTCTAAGTGCAGTGCAAATATATATATATATATATAAATATATATACACACTGTCTTATCAAAAGATGTTTTCTATGTAGGGGAACAGTAGATCATCAGGCTTTGCAGTCCTTCTTGAAAACGCTATTTAAGATAGGACCAGTAATTTTTTCCCTTTAGGAAAAGCTGCCAAGTCCCTAATCCCAGGTGATCTATGAAGAATGGTAATCCTAGGATCACAGAATAACAGAATGGCTTGGGTTGGAAGGAACCTCAAGCATCATGAAGTTCCAGCCCCCTTGTCATAGGCAGGGCCAACAACTTCCAGATCTGGTACTAGACAAGGCTGTCCAGGGCCCTATCCAACCTGGTCTTGAATGATCTGTACTATGTCACATGCACAACTCAGTAGGATTTCTACTTACTGCCTTTGCTATAGCCAGCTGGAAGTGCCTAGATGAGATCTTCCCTAATGATTCCTGTGTGGCTTTATGACCACTTGAAAGAGAAAAAGCAGTCATGTGAACTAAATCTACTACCACTTTTTCAAACTGAACAGCCCTTGGCAGCTTCCTCCGTACATGAGTATGCACTCAACAAACAGTAATCTGTTTTGCAGATTCCTGATTCAAGAGCTCAAGCGTGCTTAAAAAGTTAAGTAAATGTTCACTCCTCTACATTAAAAAAAAGCTATTCTACATAGAAAAGCTCATCTCCTCCACGCATGTGTCTATTCACTATCTGTACAGGTACCAGTGAGTCATACAGCAATTCTCTAAATTATGCAGAGTACCTTACAAAATTTTTTAGTCCAATTGCAGGTGAAATGTTTTCCTTCCTGCCTCAGATAGCAAGTAACTTACTGTAACACATCTGCGCACACACAAGGCCTTTTCTGTACACTGTACGCAAATCTTTCTGAAGCCTCTTGCCCAGCGACTGTTACACATTAATGCTGTAGAGTGACTTCGTTTGCATTCAAAACAGATAGCAGAGAGCATCACTAAGCAGCACTTAGAAAGATAAACTTTTTTTTTCTAGATTTCAAGGAAAAAAAAATTTACTGTGTGCACATGAAAGATTTCTGTGCACTTACAGCTGTTTTCTGGGCCTGGAGCAGAAACTTGGACAGATGTAAGCAGGGCTATTACTCTTGTCATTAAAGAGCTGTCTTAGCATTTATATAGTGATGGGTGACTCACAGCACTTAGATGTCATAGGTAGGTTACAGCAGATGAAATGTAGTTCTCTATAGTGGCCTTTTAGGACATCAAGTATATGACTGAAATAATTGAAAGCAATTGGCCCCCAGTAGTGACATTTCTTTCCCTGACTAGAAAGAGAAATTTGTAAACATCTCAAGTAAATAGGATGAATTCTGACTGATTGCATAAAGGTATTTTTATTTTTTGGAGGTCCTTTCATAACCTTTTATTACCTTGCACTTGTCTTTATACTTAATGCCAACCTGAGTGTGCTGCCTGGTTACCTCTAGATACCTCTGAATACTGGAGACTGAGTACCTTCACTGGCCTTGTTCTCCTCCAGCAGTAATTATCCCAGGTGGTTCAAAAACAAAAAGTACGAATGTAGCCTCTAGCAAGTTCAGTGTCTTTTTCAGAAACTCTTGGGCAAATAAGAATTTCAGAAATGTTGTCCTGGAGCCATTTTAAATCTTCCCAGTTACTGTCAAAATAGTATATTCTATTTTAATATAGTTACTTGAAATGAGTGGACAAAAGAAATAATTTCTTTTAGTCAAATGTCAAAATACGGACAATTTTTATTAACACCTAGTGTGAAAATTATGATAGTGGTAAAAGGCTCTTCTATATGTTTCTGAGGATAAAAAAACCCACTTCAGTAAATGTAAAGTACATGAGATATTCTCTTTGTGACCTCTTCATAGACATTTGTGAATTACCAGTTATTTTGCGGCTTCAGCACCTGTCCTCAACAATTATGGAAGGAATACTATTTCTAACCCCTCTGGTGTCATGGTGACTCAGCACGTAGAAGGAATGGAATCAAGGTGAGTTTTGGGTATTCCTTCAAACAGTAATATAAGGGTTAACTTGAAGCACAACACAGTTTGAGAAACTATTGGTATACAGTAATTCAACACATAAGTAGAAGTCATCTTTCTCATCAGAAATGGGTGACTATCACTGAATGACAGAATTGTCGGGGTTTGAAGGGACCTATAGAGATAATCTAGTCCAACTTCCCTTCCAAAGCAGGCTTCCTACAGCAGACTGCACAGGTCCAGGTGGAGCTTGAATATCTCTAGAAAAGGAGGCTCCACAATCTCCCTGGGCAGCCTGTTCCAGTGCTCCATCAACTTCACTGTGAAGAAGTTCTTATGTACATTTGTGTGGAACTCCCTATGCTTCAGTTTGTGGCCATTTCCCCTTGTCCTACCACCATGTACTACTGGCGGTGCATCAGACTGATTCAGAAATACCCCAATAAAAGGACTTCTTTTTAAGTTAAACCAGTAGTGACAAGGTTACTTCAATAGTTTTTTGGTTAAAATCTCATCTGAAATTAGCGGACAAGATCTACTGCAATCTACTCCCCATGGATTTTGCCCTCAGCAATGGACCTGGCCCTCAGCGTTTCTAGCATAATGGCAAACTGTATATTCAAACCTGTTGTGTGAGGCAATCCCAAGCTCTGTTTTCACAGTATAATAGTGTCACAAGGAGAAAAGTTTTCCCATCGTATCTCAAGCAGAACACCAGCGTACCTGCAGTAAGAACAGGACGGAGTTCATAACAGGATAAGCTACATAAAAACAAGGAGTACTGCTAGGATTATTCTGTCCAGGGTTCACTTTTCCTGAGTGTCTTATTGCAAAGCAAAAAAAATCCTCACTCTTGTGTTTGCAGGATTTTTTTTTTTTTTTTTATTACGGCCCAGAAGTGAATGGTCAAGTACCTTTACACCAATCTATGAGCTTCTGGTAGCTCTGAAGTCAGAGGCTATCTGAGGTAAGGGGAATTAAATAGTTATATTCACCAGTACTGTTCAATGAAGACTTACATACTAGCTCACATGATTGATTTGGGGAGCTGCCTTTCTATTAGTCTGGATATCAATAAAACAAAATGCATTCTGATACAGGGGCCTCCTAATGCCTTCTCCTAGTGGTTCCTCAATGGATCCAACGTTTGAGAGAATGCAATCAATACCATAGGATATGAAGTTGGAATTTTCAAAATACTTCTCTTATTTAGGAGGAAGCTTTTCACACAAAGGGTGGTGACACATTGGCACAGGTTGCCCAAGGAGGCTGTGGATGCCCCATCCCTGGAGGCATTCAAGGCCAGGCTGGATGTGGCTCTGGGCAGCCTGGTCTGGTGGTTGGCTGCCCTGCACATAGCAAGGGGGTTGAAACTGGATGATCACTGTGGTCCTTTTCAATCCTGGCCATTCTGTGATTCTATGATTCTATAATTCTATGATTTCCTGTGAAATAGTTTTACAGTCTTTTTGCTTAAGTTTCAGTGCACAGTTCCTATCACTGATAGAACAGATCTTTAATTAATTCTTTTTTAATTAATTAAATTAATTCTTTTTGACCAAGTCTTTTCTTAATCAGTGTTTTGTTAAATTAAACACAGGTGCTTTAAGGTAACCATTTCCTTTGAAGATAAGCAAAATATGTGAGAACTGCTCTGAAAGTAATGCCTCCTACTCTATTATGTTGATCCACAATGTCCGAGGTGGATGTTGGTGGCATGGCAAGCAGTAGAGGTAGAAACTTCCCACAGATATCCTGTTACATGCTGTTGTTGTGGCACAAATGGTAGTAAAAGGGCACTGACATGGGAGTGTGTATGAAGCAAAAGTGTGTCACTGAACTTCTTCATGCAAAAAATGGCACCCACTGATGTTCATTAACAGTAACAGTGGGTCAGCTCCACTGCTGCAGATTTTTAGGAGTGAAAAATGCTGTTGAAAATGCACAGCTCATGGAGGTGACTGTATTGAAAAACAGTGCTTTATATCTGAAAATTTGCACTTTGAAACTGTTATTGTGCTCTTTGTATGTATTGTAGTTTCCATGGAAATAAACAGGAGGCCTTACTTTCAGAGCAGCCTCTGTATTTCTAATTTTGTATTCTCTAAAGAGCTCACGGTATTTTTATTGAAGTTCATATTTGAAAAGAAATAGTCGTGAATTTGATAGCTTAGGTTATACACTTACCCAGGTGAATACATGTCCAGCACATACCACCTCAGATAACCTTTGATTTCTGAGTTACAAAGGATTTTATGTAGATTGGTGAAAAATATGTAATTATTGACTCACTGGCCACAAATATTAAAATGAAATTCTTATAGAACCTGATTATAGCCAAATGTGGTATTACTATAATTTTGCATGAGATGTGGGGATATGGAAAAAAATAAAAATATCCATGCAAAACAAAAAAAAAAAACCTTTCAGTAATGTACTGATGAGCTAAAAGAATCTAGTTGTATAGAGCCAAAGTATTATTTCTCAGTTACATTGTTTTGAATAAGTTTTTACATTCAGAATAAAAATTCCTAAATCATTTGAAGAATGAGAAGTTAAAAAATTGTAAAACCTAAGAGAAAGACAGCCTAAAGCAAACACTAACATTGATGGAGCAATTAAAGCTTTCTGCCTTTGCCAAATTACAGGTCAAGTTGTGAGGATAAGATTTTGTTTGTATTATAGGAAAATAGGCATCCTAGAGCAAAGACAATAGATTTCAGTCAGTTAATTGAAGCAAATAGTTCCATATAGCAATTTTTGTTTACTGAAATATCATTATGAAAAGATTCTGGAGCTAAATTCTTCACACAATATATCAAATTCACATTTAGTAGGTAATGTCTGAGAATGGGACACCTGAGAAACATTCACCCCACATTTGCATGAAGCCCAAGAGAACCCTTCTTCATTAAAAGCTGAATTAATTTGGTAAAATATGACTTCTGCTCAGCTACTTTCCATTGGAATGAATAAATTTCTTATTAATTCCTGACATCTTTCTCATTGCAGTGGTGGATTTTTCAAACAAAGCAAAGGGTTTTTTTTCAATAAATGTGGAAAAAATCCTGGTAAGCACTGTAAGGAGAAAATATTTTGGGAGAACATTAGTTAATCAGTAGTTGTCAAAGTTAATTTTCTTTCCTTAATGTGAGCTCTATATGTATTCCTTTTGAGAAAATAAATAAATAAATAAATTAAACAGCTGATTTCTACCAGAGCCTTAAGACTCTGAAACAAGCATCTTTTGAAGGTGCAGCTGCCTTCTCTACCTAAGGCCTGATGATTTCCTAATGGAAAAGACTGGACCATGCTGATTCCCCTCAAAACTTTGATAGAACTGGAGCTGTAATAAATATTAAACAAATTTCATATAGAAGCAAAGGATCAGAGGTATTCATACCCCTCCTCCTCCACAATTACAGAAGTTTCTGGGCTTCTCGAATAAGGAAGAACAAAGTATATGATACAAAGAA